GGAAGATGTTTATGGTACAAAGATGGACTTAAACTCAAAGTTGGAAACCCTGATTTGATCGCTGATAGCCAACAGGTCCGAGGACATTGGCCGGTTGGAAAGATTGTTGAAGTCTTCCCTAGCCCTGATTTCAGAATCCGGTCTGCTGTTTTGGGGAGACAAGTACCACAGACCAGTGACCAAGCTGGTGCTGCTGCCAGAATTGCCATGATTGACTGTAATTTCTGTGTGCAAATTGATTCCATAACTTTCGGGGCGGCTGTCCTAAAGTGTCAGGAAGTGTCGTAGAGTTTCAGGGTTCTTTTTTCGTTTTAATGTCCATTCCTAGTCCTATGTTTTATTGTTGTGATTCCATGCCATTCCACTGAACCATGTGCTCTGGTCCGCGATGAACCTTGTTCGATGTACTGTGCGTAAAAGTGATGTAATTAAATAGCTGTCAAAGTGAATCAAATCGAATAGTGCCTTCTATTCAAGACATATGGTATCAAATTATTCACATTTTATGTACAATTTGCGTTTCTTTTGCGGTTAAGTATGGATATTTGCATTTACTTGGTGAAAAGTAAAGAGAATTTCATAGGAATGAATGTGTTTTGACGAGGTGACTGAAATACAAAATCACAGACACGCGCTGTCATTAAACCTATCATGGTCAAAAGAATTAAGAATTGTAAACGTCAAGTTCACTTGAAAAATGTGCTTATCTGTGTCACGTGGATGTGTCAAATGGTTTCATGGCCAGCTTAATTCATGCACAAATGGTTTCGTTAAATGATATATTCAGTCTCAACGTTATAGTGCCAGAGATTTCTATAATCCAGGCTACAGCATGGTCAAACGTTAACATTATAAATGCGCCCTCAAATGCACATTATGCCATTTATAATGTCTAAGAAAATCCAAATAGCTTGACAATACCACTAATAACGTATTTTGTTGCTGAATCAGCAAATGTAAAAAGTAATCGGAATCATGTATGCGTATTATTTACTATACATTTGGTAAAGCCATTTATACAAAATATATTTATACAAAATTGACCGCGTCTGACACGAAGCTAAGACCTACGGTCACTTGAACTTTTGGTTCTTTGATTACACAATGCCATTTAGAAAATGGTCAAATGTAACGTGTTATATTTGGGATTACACTTTCTTAGTAAAGTACAAATTCTAGTACTTTTGAGTTGAGCCCCATCCGGGATTCGAACTCACACCCTCAGAGTCAGGCACCTAATCGCCAGCACACAAAGTCAGCCGCCTAATCCACTCAGCTACCGCGACTTCCACAAAAATGGAAATCGGACAACAGGTAGTCTAGGCTGCGGGCTTTGTGTACACGTTACATTTGACCACTTTTTGAATGACATTCTGTAATCATAGCTTTAGGCCGTGGGAGCCGTGCCAATCAACATTTATCAGAGGGGTACACAAAGCCCGCAGTCTAGACTACCAGTTGTCCGACTTCCATTTTTGTTCAACTCAACTCAAAAAGTACTAGAATTTGTACTTTGCTAAGAAAGTGTAATCCCAAATATAACACGTTACTTTGGTTCTTTGTTTCACATTAGAATATACATGATTTCTGTTTCTTTCTGTTATTTCGGATTTTATAAATACTTACCAGCATGGGCTAACCTGTTAAAGAGAAACGAAAATGTTGTTGGTTAATGATAAATATTCATTTTAGGATTTCTGTAATACTACTGGAGTAGAATTTTGAGTACGAACAATATTTGAACAGTCAAGCCGAATGTGTTGTGGTCATTGCTTTCAACTCGCTATCATTGTTAGGGAAAATTGAAACATATAACGTCATGTGTTCATACCCTTGCCGACTGCTTGTTGGGGAACAGTGGCCAAGCTTTATCAGACAAAGTTATTGATTCCTTTACCTGTGAAGGGGCTGTCTACAATCTGAACAACATAGCCTGGACAAGATAAGCCAGTATTTCAATGTTCCATCTTGTCATTTTCCGACATCACTGAGCACACCAGTCAACAAAGACTGTTCTAATGACAAGTAAAGACTAAGAAAGGATGACAATATATGGATGAACGACTTTTCTTATTACAGGGAGAGCGACGTTTCGGTGTAGGTTCTAACCCCGTTACCAAGCAAGTGATGAACAGAATGAGGAATATATACATCATGGGGAAATGTATGTACAGTACAATTGAGGATTAGGACTGCAATGGCATATCACTACAATATTGACACTTTTCACTATTTGTTACGAGGGAGGAGTGCAAAGAGAGAAACAGCCAGGTTTGCGAGAAGCACGTGCACAAGTGCCGACAAAGTTATTGATTCCTTTACCTGTGAAGGGGCTGTATCAAAACCAGTGAAAATAGAAAAGCATGATTTATTAAAAAAAGAACTTGTTCGGAATGCTATTAGGAGGTTATATGGCCAGAATAAATTCCTTTCTTTGCTTGTTTTTTTTTTAAAAAACCATGGACACTGAACATCCACATGTAACATCCACACATAGTTATTGCTCCACAAATTTGGGTTCCGTTATAAAAGGATTAGTGGGGAGAATAGACGTGTTCTCTGTGAATGATCCGACATTATTTGCTTACTTAACAGCTACTTGGGAAAAAACGTAACGAAGGTTTCGAATCTGTCTATTTTTCTGGATGAAACGTGAGTGAATGCCAGTCGCACCGCAGGTACCCAATGGGTTGCCAGCACAGGCCCTCGTGTCTTTACGAGGATTACATTTTAAAACATATTATCTTTTAAGATGACACCCGACTCGAAAGGCTTGCTTCGACCACACACCCCATTTTGTGCGGATATATTGTCATCCATTTGTGTCAAGATCGTTCAGTTGAGAGTCAAAAACGGTTTTCAAGCAATTTGCAGAAATAACATTAACGAATTGGTAGGTGTCATGTGTGGTGGTTCTCGATAGGCCAATCGTCCATGATTACGTTTACATTAATTTTTAACTGATTGCATGCGATGGTAGCGTAGTGATCGGCAAAGCAGGCGAGTGGGGTGCAACAAAGTGTCTGGCCTTGTCATGATGTATTGTACTGTGAAGCATTTCGAGTCGGGGATCATCTCAAATTTTAATACATTTTTTTTAAAATCTGTAATCCTCGCAAAGACACGAGGGCCTGTGGTTGCCAATACATCATCAGAAACATGCCCATGGAAACTCCCACTTGGCAAGGGTGAGTGTTTGACTGGGTTACAATCAAATCCAAAGACAACCGTGACTATCGCACCGAGATGAACGGTGATATGATTTTAGAATGGCTACAAAAACAGCTTGCTCCCTTCTTGCCTCCCAAAGGCCATGGACAAGCTCCGTACCACAGTGTTCAGGACCCTGATACAAAAGCACCAGTCTCAAACAGCAGGAAGGGGGATATGTTGGCATTCCATTAAAGGCAACAACACCTTTTTGTACGGAATTATCAACGCAAATAAAAATAACCCCGTGTATAAGGTTGACCAATACTTAAAGAGCCATGGTCATGAAGTGCTTCGTCTTCCCCCCTACCATTGTGACCTTAACTCAATAGAGCTGGAATGGGGTTTCAGCAAGTCCAAAGTGGGAATTAATAACACCACCTTCAAACTTGGTGATGTACAAAAACATGTACATCAATCCACCAGTAAGTCTCGCAAGAAACATGGCAGAGATGTGTTGAAAAGGTGGAAAAGGATACTGAAACTAAAAGATACTGAAAGGGACTGATGCAAAAAAACGAATACTACCTATAGTCGCCTTGGCTCGCGGATCTCCGAAGGCCCCTGAAAGTATATAATAACAAAAAATTTGGTTTCATGTGACAACAAAACAGTTCTTTCCCAAACGAATTCAGCTTTAGAAGTAAACAAATACAAGCTGAACAGACGCTTATCATCCTTTATGCATAGTGACATCCCAAGACTTTCCAATAATTCTCAATATATATCACTGGATTTTCTATTCTAACTTAAGACCTTGAAAACTGATTCAGGACAATTTTGTTGTCGGGCAACAGCAGTCCAGGCATAGCAGATAACCTCTAAATAACAGAGTCGAGACAAGAAAGAGAGTGAAGTATTGCAATATTGCATTTTGTCAGGTACGATATCACTGAGTCTATTCAACCAATAGAAGTGTCGTATGACATGAATGAATAATAATTCCAAATAAGGACAAACTTGCAGGTCAGTGATAGCCAGGTATATTCTTTATCACTCTACATCTACACAATTGGATCGTTCACGTTTCAACGCCCCTGCCTTTCTGGAAGAAAATATTCAAATGTAGGGTGGATTTTCACAGAATTGTAGTGTACAATAATCCGCCCACCATATAATCATAATGTGTATACTAAATAATGTTTAATTAACAAACCATTCCAAAGGGATATTCATAAGATTCCTTGTTAGGGGCATTCTCGGGGTTCATTCTCAGGACGTGGATAACCTGAAATTTTGCATGTGCAGGACGTGGACAGACGGTGTAGCTTTGATGTCGTCTGTTGTTTTTGTAAGGGATTAACTAGTCGGGAAGTGTTAAAATGTGAATTGTTTATCCGGAATTGTTAAAGTTTTGTTCACGCTGGTAAGCAAGTGACTATGATAGGTGAGTGAGTTCACTCAGAAATTGTTTTCAGTGTTGATTGATTTCATAAAATATGTTCACTCCGATAAATATACACCGAGGTATGGGGTTCACACAAGGGAGATAATATTCAAACATTACATTTAGAATTTTGTAAAAAACTACTGGGTGTAAAGAATTCAACCTGTAGTTTTATGATTTATGCCAAACTCGGAAGCTATCTTCTTCAATGCAAAAGAATGTTTAATTTGTGTTGTTCAGAATAAGAGTTGGATTCAGACGATCCCTCTCATGATGATTTTGAAACGTCCCCCGCCAAACGATTGCGGGCGTCTCCATCCTAACTCACACCTGGCCGTTCCTCTCTTTGCACTCCTTCCTCGTAACAAATAGTGAAAAGTGTCAATATTTAAAACAACTTTTTTTTTTAGAGTTAGTGTGATGTTTTTATTATCATCAACGTTCCATTGAGTCTTATATGTTTCCGAGTTAGATTGAAATTCATTGGTCCGCTTTTGAGCCAAACGGACTGTACTTGGAAAAGTATCTTATAGTGGTATCTACTGTACCGTAGGTGCATGAATGTTACTGAAAGGAACTGATGCAAAATAATGAATACTACCTATAGTCGTCTTGTCTTGCAGATCTCAGAAGGGCTCTGAAAGTATATAATAACCCAAAATATGGGTTCATATGACAACAAAACAGTTCTTTCCCAAACGAATTCAGCTTTAGAAGTAAACAAATACAAGCTGAACAGACGCTTATCATCCTTTATGCATAGTGACATCCCAAGTCTTTCCAATAATTCTCAATATATATCACTGGATTTTCTATTCTAACTTAAGACCTTGAAAACTGATTCAGGACAATTTTGTTGTCGGGCAACAGCAGTCCAGGCATAGCAGATAACCTCTAAATAACAGAGTCGAGACAATAAAGAGAGTGAAGTATTGCAATATTGCATTTTGTCAGGTACGATATCACTGAGTCTATTCAACCAGTAGAAGTGTCGTATGACATGAATGAATAATAATTCCAAATAAGGACAAACTTGCAGGTCAGTGATAGCCAGGTATATTATTTATCACTCTACATCTACACAATTGGATCGTTCACGTTTCAACGCCCCTGCCTTTCTGGAAGAAAATATTCAAATGTAGTGTGGATTTTCACAGACTTGTAGTGTACAATAATCCGCCAAGCATATAATCATAATGTGTATACTAAATAATGTTTAATTAACAAACAATTCCAAAGGGATATTCATAAGATTCCTTGTTAGGGGCATTCTCGGGGTTCATTCTCAGGACGTGGACAACCTGAAATTTTGCATGTGCAGGACGTGGACAGACGGTGTAGCTTTGATGTCGTCTGTTGTTTTTGTAAGGGATTAACTAGTCGGGAAGTGTTAAAATGTGAATTGTTTATCCGTAATTGTTAAGGTTTTGTTCGCGCTGGTAAGCAAGTGACTATGATAGGTGAGTGAGTTCACTCAGAAATTGTTTTCAGTGTTGATTGATTTCATAAAATATGTTCACTCCGATAAGTATACACCGAGGTATGGGGTTCACACAAGGGAGACACTATTCAAACATTACATTTAGAATTTTGTAAAAAACTACTAGGTGTAAAGAATTCAACCTGTAGTTTTATGATTTATGCCGAACTGTGACCATTGTTCAGTTAGCGTGTCGCTGAAATCTATTAAACAGATGAAAGAAGCCTATTCAAGATTCATTTATAATTACGATAATATTGATATAAATTCCTTTCGGCAAAATGTGGCTGATGTTAATTGGGATTTTCTTACACAAAATGATGATGTTGATGCCATTGCTTCAAAATTTGTTAATACATTAACAGACTTATGTAAATCAAATATTCCAAATAAAACTGTTGTGATTCGTCCAAATGATGCTCCGTGGATGAACGGATTTATAAGAAAACTTATGCGTAAGAAAAATAGAATTCATAGGAAGGCTAAACGTAGTAACTTGCCTAATGCTTGGGAAAAATTTAGAAAAAGTCGAAATAAGCTTATCTCAGAGATACGTAAAAGTAAGTCATTGTATGTTGAAAAACTTGATAATGTTGTCAATACAGAACATGGTAGTAAATCTTGGTGGCGGATTGTTAAACATTATCTTAAGAAAACAGATAAAGCTAAGATATTTCCACACATTGAACACAATGGTGTTGTTTATGAAGATGATATTGAGAAAGCAAATATTTTTAATGACTACTTTGTGAGTATGGCAGCGGTTAACAGTTCTTCTGATGATGTTAATGTATATTCTGATATTAACGTGGAAAATTGTCTCACTGATATAAGATTACAAAGCGTTGAAGTAAGGGATATTTTACTGTCGCTTGATGTCACTAAAGCAACTGGTCCAGATCATCTTAGCAATCGTGTCTTAAAATGTTTAGCTGAACAATTGTCTATTCCACTTTGTAACCTGTTTGATATTTCTTTGTCCTCTTCTCAATTTCCAGATATATGGAAATGTTCATCCGTTGTTCCAATTTATAAGAAAAATAATGTTCATGATTATACTAATTATCGACCGGTTTCACTTACTAGTTGTCTTTCAAAAGTATTTGAGAAGTGTGTTTTAAATATGTGTCAAATTTTTTTCTAGATAATGGAACTATTACTTCATTACAGTCAGGTTTCACGACTGGTGATTCTACGTCATACCAGCTCACTCATTTGTATGACTATATAGCTAAGGCGATGGATAGTGGCAAGGAGGTACGCGCTGTATTCTGCGATATAAGTAAAGCGTTTGATAGGGTTTGGCACAAGGGTCTTTTGCATAAGTTATGGGCTAGTGGAATTCGCGGATCTCTTTTATTATGGTTTGAAAGTTATCTAAATAATAGAAAACAGTTTACAGTAATAAATGGGTATAAGTCAAATGTTAAATCAATTGAAGCTGGCGTCCCTCAGGGATCAGTCCTAGGACCTTTACTCTTTTGGTTTATATCAATGATATTGTTGAAGATATACAGTGTAATATTAAATTATTTGCCGATGATACATCCTTATATGTGATAATTGATGACCCTATGGTATCTTCCAATATGTTAAACGATGATTTAGAAATAATAGCTAAATGGGCCCACACATGGAAAGTAAACTTTAATCCCAATAAAACTGAATCTATCATTTTTTCTAGAAAGAAAACAGTAACATCAATGCCAGATCTTATAATGAATGATATACCGATAAAGTCTGTTGACACTCATAAACATCTGGGGCTGACTTTACAAAGTGATGGCCACTGGAATATACATATAGATGATATTATTTCTAAAGTCAGTCCTATGATCAATTGTTTAAGAAGTCTGAAATACCGCCTTCAGAGGAAAACCCTCCAAACCCTGTATAGTTCATTTGTTTTACCACTTTTTGGAATAACTGTACACAAACTCAAGAGTTATTGTTAGAAAAACTTCACTTAGATGCTTTAAGAACCATATGTGGATCAGTTAGAGGAGTTTGTCATTCCAAAATCTACCATGAAACTGGTTTTTCATCATTAAGGGAACGTCGTAAAAACCACCAAATGTATGTATTTCATAAAATGTTCCATAATAAAACTCCAAAGTATTTATCAGATCTAATTCCAATAAACATATCCTCTGTATCCACATATGGATCTAGATCTAGTAATATGCTTCAAGTACCATTATGTCGTACAGAAACATATAAAAAATCGTTTTTACCATCCTCTGTGATGGAGTGGAACAAGTTAGATAATGATACAAGAAACATAGATTCCGTTGCCATGTTCAGGAAACACTTTGATCGAAATGTCTCATCCAACGTACATCATGTCTTCAGAAACACTGGTAATAGATTTAATCAAATAATTCATTGTAAGTTAAGACTTGGCTGTAGTGACTTAAACGCACATAAATTTGACCGTTTTCTTCAAAATACGTCTACTTGCACTTGTGGCCATCATTATGAAGATGCCATTCATTTTCTATTTATCTGTCCAAATTTTAATACAATTCGATCGCAGTGTTTCTATTACATAAATGGTTTTAATATTCAATCTGTACTATGTGGAAGTTACTCATATTCTGACGAAATCAATGAAAATATTGTAAAATCTGTACATGACTATTTTACCTTAACAAAACGATTTTTTACCTAATTGATTAATTATACTACTGTCTTTTTCATTAAGTCTTTTACTCCTCAAATGGTGTGTTCTCTTGTCTGTAATGATGAATGTATATAAAATGTTTCCCATCGCATTGTATTCGGAGAGGTATTTCTATAGGCTTATAGCCTGTTTACCAATCCGTTCATTTAATAATGAATAAATATTGTTTAAAAATAGTGAAAATAATACCAATGGCAATTATGTTGAAACTTCATTGATGACTTTCCTCATGCAAGTCCGCGTGGGTGGATGTACTATCTGAGAAACAGTTAGTTATAATGTGTGAAAACAAATGGTTAGATGTGCACAGTGTTAGAGTTTAGAGTCATCCAAGACAACAGAGCCAGCCACCTTCGTTACCAACTTACTTGATGTTAAGGCAAAGTATTGTCACAGCAACCAACAGCACAGCGCTACAAAGTCCAAGGGTAGAGTTAATTTGGACCTCCATGCCATTGTCTGTACATGCCAGATCTTTCTTAGCTGCGGATACACGTAAACAATCGGAGTAATTCGTATTCGCCTGGGAAAGGGATATGTATGTTGTCAGAAGCAACATGCATAATGCCACAGTAGTATTAATATCACTACAGTAGTATTCTTAACACTACAGTTGTATTAATATCACTACAATAGTATCTATAACACTACAGTAATATTCTTAACACTGCAGTAACATTTATAACACTCAAGTAATAATTATAACACCGCAGTAATATTTATAACACTACAGTATCAACAGTTATATTTATAACACTGCAGTATCAACAGTAATATTATAACACTGCAGTAAAATTTATAACACTCCAGTATCTACAGTAATATTTATAACACTGCAGTAATGTTTCTAACACTGCAGTATCTACAGTCATATTATAACATGTCAGTAATATTTATAACACTGCAGTTTCTACAGTCATATTTATAACATTGCAGTAATATTTAGAACACTGCAGTATCTACAGTACTATTTATAATACTGCAGTAAAATTTATAACACTCCAGTATCTACAGTAATATTTATAACACTGCAGTAATGTTTCTAACACTGCAGTATCTACAGTCATATTATAACATGTCAGTAATATTTATAACACTGCAGTTTCTACAGTCATATTTATAACATTGCAGTAATATTTAGAACACTGCAGTATCTACAGTACTATTTATAATACTGCAGTAATATTCATAACACTGCAGTAAAACTTATAAAACTGCAGTATCTACAGTAATATTTATAGGACTGCAGTAATATTTATGACACTGCAGTAAAATTTATAACACTGCAGTAAAATTTATAACACTGCAGTAAAATTTATAACACTCCAGAATCTACAGTAAAATTTATAACACTGCAGTAATATGTATGACACTGCAGTACCTACAGTAATATTTATAACACTACAGTATCTACAGTCATATTTATGACACTGCAGTAATATTCATAACACTGCAGTATCTGCAGTAATATTCATAAAACTGCAGTAATATTTATAACACTGCAGTATCTACAGTAATATTTATAACACTGCAGTACTATTTATAACACTGCAGTATCTATAGTAATAATTATAACACTGCAGTAATATTTATAACACCGCAGTAATATTTATACCACTGCAGAATCTACAGTAATATTTGTAACACTGCAGTAATATTTATAACACTGCAGTAATATTTATACCACTGCAGAATCTACAGTAATATTTGTAACAGTGCAGTTATATTTATAACACTGCAGTACGTACAGTAACAATCATAACACTGCAGTATCTACAGTAATATTTATAACACTGCAGTAATATTTATAACACTGCAGTATCAACAGTAATATTACAACACTGCAGTAAAATTTATAACACTCCAGTATCTACAGTGATATTTATAACACTGCAGTAATGTTTATAACCCTGCAGTATCTATAGTAATAATTATAACACTGCAGTAATATTTATAACACCGCAGCAATATTTATAACACTGCAGTATCACCAATATTATTTGTAACACTGCAGTAATATTTATAACACTGCAGTAATATTTATAACACTGCAGTATCTACAATATTATTTGTAACACTGCAGTAATATTTATAACACCGCAGCAATATTTATAACAGTGCAGTATCTACAGTATGATTTGTAACACTGCAGTATTATTTGTAACACTGCAGTAATATTTATAACACTGCAGTAATATTTATAACATTGCGGTATCTACAGTAATATTTATAACACTGCAGTAATATTTATAACACTGCAGTTTCTACAGTCATATTTATAACATTGCGGTATCTACAGTAATATTTATAACACTGCAGTAATATTTTAAACACTGCAGTTTCTACAGTCATATTTATAACACTCCAGAATCTACAGTAAAATTTATAACACTGCAGTAATATGTATGACACTGCAGTACCTACAGTAATATTTATAACACTACAGTATCTACAGTCATATTTATGACACTGCAGTAATATTTATAACACTGCAGTATCTGCAGTAATATTCATAAAACTGCAGTAATATTTATAACACTGCAGTATCTACAGTAATATTTATAACACTGCAGTACTATTTATAACACTGCAGTATCTATAGTAATAATTATAACACTGCAGTAATATTTATAACACCGCAGTTATATTTATACCACTGCAGAATCTACAGTAATATTTGTAACACTGCAGTAATATTTATAACACTGCAGTAATATTTATACCACTGCAGAATCTACAGTAATATTTGTAACAGTGCAGTAATATTTATAACACTGCAGTACGTACAGTAACAATCATAACACTGCAGTATCTACAGTAATATTTATAACACTGTAGTAATAGTTATAACACTGCAGTATCTACAGTTATAGTAATAACGATGCAGTACCATTTATCCCACAGCAGTACTATTTATACGACTACAGTAATATTTATAACACTACAGCAATATTCATAACACTGCAGTATCTACAGTGATATTTATAACACTGCATTATCTACAGTAATATTCATAATACTGCAGCAATTTTTATAACACTGCAGTATCTACAGTAATAGTAATATCAATGCAGTACTATTTATACCACAGCAGTACTATTTATACGACTACAGTAATATTTATAACACTACAGCAATATTCATAACACTGCATTATCTACAGTAATATTTATAACACTGCATTATCTACAGTAATATTCATAATACTGCAGCAATATTTATAACACTGCAGTATCTACAGTAATAGTAATAACACTGCAGTACTATTTATACCACAGCAGTACTATTTTTACGACTACAGTAATATTTATAACACTACAGCAATATTCATAACACTGCATTATCTACAGTAATATTTATAAGACTGCATTATCTACAGTAATATTCATAACACTGCAGCAATATTTATAACACTGCAGTAATATTTATAGCCATGCAGTAATTTTTATATCACTGACGTAATATTCATAACACTGCAGTAATATTTATAACACCGCAGTAAAATTTATAACACTGCAGTATCTACAGTAAAATGTATAACACTGCTGTAATATTTATAACACTGCAGTATCTACAGTAAAATGTATAACACTGCTGTAATATTTATAACACCGCAGTAATAGTTTTACCTCTGCAGAATCTACAGTAATATTTGTAACACTGCAGTAGTATTCATAACACTGCAGTGTCTACAGTAATATTTATAACACTGCAGTAATGTTTATAACACTGCACGAATATTTATAACACTACCGTTATATTCACAACACTACAGTAACATTTATAACACTACAGTGATATTTATAACACTGTAGTAAAATTCATAAGACTGCACTAATATTTATAACACTGCAGTAGTATCTATAACACTGCAGTAATATTTGTAACACTGCAGTATCTACACTAATATTTCTAACACTGCAGCAATATTTATAACACTACAGAAATATTTATAACACTACAATAATATTAATAACACAGCAGTAACATTTATCACACTACTGTAATATTTATAACACAGCAGTATCTACATTAATGTTATAACACTGCAGTAATATTTATAACACTACAGAAATATTTATAACACTACATCAATATTGATTACACCGCAGTAATACTTATAACACTACAGTAATATTTATAACACTACAGTAATATTGATAACACTACAGTAATACTGATAACACTGCTGAATTATTCATAACACTGCAATATCCACAGTAATATTTATAACACTGCAGTAATATTTATAACACTACAGTAATATTTATACCACTGCAGTAATATTTATAACACTGCAGTAATATTTATAACTGCAATATATAGTCATATTTATAACATTGCAGTAATGTTTATAACACTGCAGTAATATTTAAAACACTACAGTAATATTTATAACACTGCAGTAATATTCATAACGCTGTAGTATCTACACTAATATATATAAAACTGCAGTAATATTTACAACACTGCAGTAATATTTATAACACTACAGTAATATTTATAACACTACAGTAATATTGATAACACTGCAGTAATACTGATAACACTGCTGTATTATTCATAACACTGCAGTAATATTTATAACACTGCAGTATCTACAATATTATTTGTAACACTGCAGTAATATTTATAACACCGCAGCAATATTTATAACAGTGCAGGTATTTCTACGGTAATATTTATAACACTGCAGTAATATTTATAACTGCTGCAGTAATATTTATAACACGTGCGGTATCTACGGTAATATTCATAACACTGCAGTAATATTTATAACACTGCAGTTTCTACAGTCATATTTATAACACTGCAGTATCTACAGTAATATTTATAATACTGCAGTAATATTCATAACATCGCAGTAAAATTTATAACACTACAGTATCTACGGCAATATTTATAACACCGCAGTAATATTTATAACACTGCAGTAATATCTATAACACTGCAGTAATATTTATAACACTGCAGTATCTACAGTAAAATGTATAACAATGCGGTAATATTTATAACATGCGGTATCTGCAGTAATATTTATAACACAGCAATAATATTTATAACAGTATTTATAACACAGTAATATTTATAACACTGCGGTAATATTTATAACACTGCAGTATCTATAGTAATAATTATAACACTGCGGTAATATTTATAACACTGCAGTAATATTTATATACTGCATCTACAGTAATATTTATAACACTGCAGTAATATTTATAACACTGCGGTAATATTTATAACCACTGCAGTAATATTTATAACACTGCAGTAATATCTATAAGTTATAGTAATATTTATGCACTACCGTAATATCCCATAACAGTACTATTTATACGACTACGGTAATATTTATAACACTGCAGTAATATTCATAACACTGCGGTATCTACGGTGATATTTATAACACTGCATTATCTACAGTAGTAATATTGCGGCAATGTTTTATAACACTGCGGTAATCTTTATAACTGCAATAT